TCACTTTCTTTTTAACAGCTTGAATTAGACATGCTTTCAAGGTTTTTATCCAACTGTCAGTTAGAAAACCGATGGCATTTCTGCCCTCTCCTCTCATTAGGGACTTGCTGTTCTGTACCTGCAAATCTTCATCCCTCATCAGCCAGAGAAACGAAAGCAGAAATCTCATCTATAATAGTAGTATCATGTACATCCTATTAAAGAGGACAGATAACATATTCAACAGCGCCTCAGGGCCACAATTTCAAAGACATATGTAGTGCTGAAAGATGCAGGTGAAAGACTCCAGGGACTTTCCAAAGCCCCCAGCTGCATAACTCCCATTGATTTCAGTTATTCAAATGAAAAGTTATTTAATGTATTTATTCTGGAGTTGAAGTTTCATTTGAAGGCTGGGAGATACATAAACCCATAGGCTAATTTTTAAGACTGATTCTCACTAATTTCAAAAACAGGTAAATGACTAAATACTCAGATAAATCTAGCCCTGAGTGAGGCATAAATCCTATTTAGGGTCTCTCTGCCTTTGAAATAACAGCAGTTATGCACCCATCTAGTTTGAGGAGATAGGGTTTTTATCACAAATATTTTGGCCACATATCCGTTACATGAATATAAATTTTGCAATATCACATCTTTTACAGTAAGGGAGTGGAAAGGAAATGAAATATTTTTACCCCTGAAAATTGTCCAAAGATAAAAAAATATACCTACTTTGTAGACAAATTCTTCTAAAAAATAGACAAGGATGACAATTGCCAGCATTAGAAAATGAGGTAGTTGAGAAATTGAGGAATATTATGGAGAAAGAAAGACAAAGGATACAAGGAAGAGCTAAAACAGGGGCCTGATTGGGAAAAAAACCCACCATTTGAAGAGGGGCATGAAAGTGGAAGACTTGAAGTCAAGACAGATGAAGCCAATACACACAAAAAAAATTTGCAATTGAGCTTGTTTGATGAGAATTTGCTATTTGGAATGGTTGAAATATTGTAAGATCACATATTCTACCTCTGACTCTTCAGGAAGTTTTGAAGATATCCAACCTGGATGTGACCCTAAGCACAGGATTGTAGCAGCTGAAATAGTCACACTAGTCAATAGAGCAGGCCCAGCCTGGTAAATGAGGGGGTCTCAGGTCTGCTGCTCTTCCACAGCAGGCAGCAAATGTCCTGCTTAATCCTGGAATCTCTGTTCAAGAGGGTTATGAAATGATCAGAGGATTTCAGCACTGGGGCTGGCTACCAACAACACCCACCTTAGAATCACAGAATGGTTTAGGCTGGAAAAGACCTCTAATATCATCAGGTCCAACCATCAACCCAGCACTGCCAAGGCCACCACTAAACCATGTCCCCAAGAGCCACATTCACACATCTTCTAAATCCCTCCAGATCACTGATAAAGATATTAAACAGTGCTGGCCCCAGTACTGAGCCCTGGGGAACATCCCTTTTGACTGGCCACTACCTGGATTTAGTTCCATTCACCACCATTCTTTGGACTTGGCCACCCAGCCAGTTTTTTTGTCCTGTGGTTTGTGCACCCATCCAAGCCATTTAGCTCAATGACATCCACTCAGCTCCCTGCTCCCCCTCTCAAAGCATCCTGCAGTGAAATCCTTTCTTTTCCCAAGGAACAAGATGCCACTTCTACAATGCCTTGCACTTTTCCAATATTTCCCAAACACTCGTAGAACCAGATAAAATCCCTGGGGTTTTGAGACGCCTTCTTGCAGAAATTGAATTACCTTCCATGTTCTTGAGTAACTACAGAGCTACAAGTTTCCACCCAAATCCCTCTCCTCTGTGGCAATGCTCCTGCGTGCTATAAATACAAAGTTAATTTGTGCAATGTGTGGGCTCACGCTTGGAAGTGCAGAGGACTGTGCAGGCTAATATCCTTCCCAGGAAAAAACACAGCATGACGTACGACTGAAAATGGTGCGAGCGAGAGGCAGTCGAGGGGCGCTTCAGAGAAAACAGTGGAATTTTTTCCAAAGGTGGACTGAACGTCCCGTGGGTGCTGAGCAGAGAAAAGAGAGGAGGTCAAGACAAACCAGAGTTTTTGTATGAGGAAATGACTGGAGGATGGAAAGGCTGTGGCACGAGGCCGAGCTCACTGCAGTGGAACGGCTGGCGCGCAGTCAGGGGATGCGTGGCTGCAGCCCAACATGTTAAAAATGCTCTGGCGTCTATCACCATTTGTTTGGGAGTGACTTCATTTCCAAACTTTGGGATAAATATTAGCACAGCTATTCAAGATAGCCAGGACACCCAGCCCCTGGGTTTTTTCTCACTTCATGGCTTTTAGGTGTGGACTGTAACACATCACTTAAGCAGCACAAAACAGATTTTACTGAATTTACAGTCGTTGCACTGGGCTTGAAAAGAAAAAATAAATTGTTTTGGTTGGGTTGGTGGTAGGGTTCCACCCAAGATTCCTGGGAGAAGTTAGTTAAGGACAACTGCTCATGCCATCACTCACAAGGAAATCAAGCAAAGTGGGGAGAAGCAGCTGTACTGGGAGTTGCTTTTGGGAAAGTGGTGTTGTGTCCCAGGAGGGAGAATTCACCTGGGATTTATTTCATTTCTGAAACCTCAGAAATTCAACTATTTGATCATCCTCTTATCTCCAGTAAATACTTTCCCTACTATTTTATTCAGTTACCATGCATTCTTGATTTTATGCTTACCAACTTGTTACTGTACAAAGCTAATTGATTCTATGCTTAATGCCTTCTTGCTGTAGGAAGCTAATTGATTACATCCTAAAATCAGCAAGAAACACACAATCTGATGGTTATGGAAGAATCTTCCACCACATTTAAAAATACAGCTGGAATTTTTTGTAGCTGTCTCTTCTTTTTGAGTGACCTTGGACCTACACATTTCATTAGAAACATGAAATGGTCCCCAGCACCACCTGGTATCTGCAGTAACAAACCCCTCTTGCCTCTCTATACTGGAGCTGGAAACAGGACTTGTTACCATCACCCATCCCTCTGCTCAAATACAGACTCTAGAAACCAGCTGAGTTTTGAAGAAGGGAAGAACAGGACAGCACTGATGACTGCCAAAGACCATCCAGAGCCTCCTCAAGAGGCCTTGGGGATTTAAAACAGCTCCTCAAATTTGGGCACAGGGCATGGGATACATCCTCAGTCCCCAAAAGACACTTTTCTACCTCAGAGCTCTCAACAGAACAATTGTTGCCTATGCCAAGAGCTGCTGTGCCCTGTGAGTACAGTTACACAGGCTGCACTTTCTAAACCACTTGCAGAGACAGCATGCTTGGAGTTGTTATTTCTTGCAATTTGTGTGTTGGATGGTTTACTAAAATTAGGAAGAAGTATATTCCAGAGCTGGAACATTTATGGCTTCTTTACCATTACTGTATATTTTAATTCTTAAAAATAGATTTAAGTGACATGATAAGTAAAGAGTCATGTTTAATCTATTTTGGCCTGTTTGCCACATTCCTGGTTTGGCCTGTTTGGCTTGTTAATTTAGAGATGCGTAAAACCATCTGTTTCACTGTAGACTTTGTTTTAAGCCTCAGAGGAAACAAACCACACAAATAAATGAAATTCACTATGTCATTTCAGTTAGAATATATGTATTTACCGCCGTCAGAGCAGACACCAAGGACCTCATAACTCTAATGTTAGTGCAGGTTTTTAACTATTTATAATGCTGTTATAAAGAGTTTGTGCAACTGAATTTATATCAGACAAGGGATTTTCTTAAATCGTATTCCACCTCTCATTTAAAGTGATAAACAGTGATATTCTGCACATTGCTAAAAGAATGTAATAAAGAAAGAAAAAAATAAACTTCATAATTAAAAAAATACATCTTGGAAAAACTACATCCCAGGCAAATGTACCTAATAGCCTGGATTTCTGCCTCTGTGGTTTGTAAAGCCAAAGGAGACACCTACATGCTCATCTTCTTGACATGACTGCAAACTTGAGCAGTCAGACTCCATTTGTCAAAAACAGAGCAGACCTACAATTTTTTACTCAATGCTGTTTCACTGAGAACACACATGCACTGAACCTAAAGCTTTTTTGGATTTTTTTTTTGAAAAAAGACTCCTGTTCCGGATGAGAAGGAAGAAAGTCATCCCCAAATGAATTGCCTATGAAGGGGGCTGCCACTCAGTTCTATTTTTTGGCCAGAAGAAGGAAATATATTTTGACTTTGATCTGTAACAGGGATGATTTTTCAAGACTTGATTCTTTTCCCACAAAATAGTATCCTCGCTTACTGAGTTGGATACTAGAGGGCTGCTGTGTCTGCTGCAGTCATGTTTATAAATAAAAAGTGGTTCTTTCAAATATAATATTCCCTAGTGTATTCTTTCATCCCTACTGCACTATATAGTCTATTGCACAGACTATGGTTCAGAAGATTAAATATTTAACTAAGGAAACCTAAAGATGTCAGTCATGGAGTAAACACTAAATCAATTTAAGAAATTTCAGTGTTACACTACATAACACTTTACTGCGGGGTGAACAAGGAGCAGCGAAGTGCCCTGGGACCTGAAGTGGCTGTTGAGGAATCAAAGAATTTATCTGAGTAGTTTTAAAAATGTGAAAAGAAAAAAAAACAACAATTGAAATTTCTAATAGAACCTTATTTGAAGACAGTTCTCCAAACCATGTTTCTCAGCAAGAAGTTCATACTAAGGGAATATACAGCTAAAATGTAATGACTTCCAAAAACCTGAGCCCCTGCTGACCCTGTGCCCCCAGCCTACCAAAGCACGTAAGTGGGACTTTGAACATTTTAACAGTTCCATACTCAGCTTCTTTCTTGGCCCCTTTTTCTTTTTTTTTCTTCTCCCCTTTTGATTTTTTTGAAAGTGGCCTGGATTTCCCTCCTATTACCTCCTGCCATGAGAGAAATTTGTTATGTCTCCTTCAAACGGGCCAACCCATTCCCGGTCCTCTCAGCGCCTTCCCACAGGGCGGTTCGCGGGGTTGTACTCACAATATTCATCAGGGTCAGCAGGTACTTCTGAACATGTTCTTTCCCATGGAACTGAACAACTGAGTCATCAACCCCCAGAAGGACTTCAATGTTGTAATCGTCCTCCGTCGCGTGCCTTCGGTGGCGCTGCCTCGATCTGTGCACCTGGTCTTCAACAAGGCTCAACGCGCTGTCGAGATTATCCAAATTAGTGAGGTTAGCAGCTGGAATCAAACAGACAAACAAGTCATCAACCAAGAGAGGCTCAGGCTCAGGTTTCAGCTAAGCTGGTATAAATTTGAAGTAGCAGCATTTGTTGTGTTCTGGGTGTTATTTAATGGCATTAGTTTCGCTTAATGTCAATTAAAAATTGACCCAAAACGTTTTTGCTTCACAAACTAAAAGCAATGCTTTCTACTAAGTAATACTGCATAATAAATACAAGCCCAAAAGGGCAGCAAGGTCATGCCAATGTTTTGAGGAGAAGAATGGAGCTGTTTGAGGTAAAATGCTTGTTACTTGAAAGTACTTCTAACAAAAATACACTATTCAGGGGTATTGTGCTACCTAGGGTAGTCTACATTTCAGAACAATTAAAGATAGACACCCTACTTCAAAATCTGATCTTACTGCCCACAGACTCCTATTTCAAGGCAGGTGCAGTTGCCAATATAGTCTTTTTCTATCCAGGCAGGTAGTAACAAACCAGTCCCCTGGATTCAACCTTTTAGCTCCTTTCCTAGCTACACACATGCAATCCAACAGTAGTGACATGGATCTTATTTATCATCACAGCTCAGTACCACATTTTAGATATGAGATTAATTAATTTATAGCTACCTTCACAATTTTTTAACAGTTTTTCCTCCTTCATTCCAAATTTGCCATGTCGCTTTACATTATTGTACGTCAAAGACCAACCCATCAGGTACCACAGTAGCTACTTCATTACTGATACAATTTCTAAGAGTCCCTGTGATATGAAGTGCACATTCTCTGACAGGATGGGACATGATTACTGTGGTACCTACCTACTAAAAATTAACATGAAAATATGGAATCTTGACATTTCACTCTAAAGAATAACAATTATTAGCTTTAGTATCATTACTATCATTTGCATTACAAGAGCTCTGGAAGTCCCACCAAGAACCTCTTGATTTTAACACGTCAGGAAAGACTCGCTCAGAGAGGTGAGGAAAGGCAGTGAGGTGGCTGTGGGTTGAGTAAAGGCTCCCAGTGCTTCATTCACAGGAATACAGTGGAAAGCAAAGGAAGGAGGCCAAAGCCTTCACCTTCCAACCAGAAATAAGAAACAACTCCTGGAAATGCTATGAAAGTGGATTCTCCATCTTTGTTTATTGAAGTTTTCACATCAAAACTGGCTGCTTGAGAAGGGCTGAATGAGTCACCAGATCACTGGGCTCATTACAAGAACATCTGTGCTCTTGCCTGAAGATCAGCTGCCTCAGGCTGCTGTGTCAGCAGGTCCTGGGCAATGTGCAGCCTGAGCAGAGTCCCCACAGCTCCCCTCTGGGGTGACAGTAACATACCGACCCGCACAGCCTCTGGCTGCCAGGAAGGACACACACCAGGCAGTGTTCCTTACTGCCCCGGGCCTCTGTGCCTTGTGTGGTGAGCAGCTTGTTTCTGTGCCTCTAGGAGAGACCTCCTGTCAAAGGACAGTCCCTGAAAGACACAGTTCCTTACCATTTCTCCACCAAGCTTCAAGAACACGCTTGTCCCGAGACCCACAGCTGCAGGTCACCACACTGCCCTGGCAGGGCTTCCCTCACTCACTGGACAGAGAGAAGATCACACATGGTAGTTCTGCATCCCCATGGAGCCACAATGTCCTTCTCCCAGCACAGCAGCATTTAATGCAGCTAATAAGCACAACCACCATGTTCTCATTGCCAGGCTCAAGGGTCTCAGCAGCTTCTGCTCCCGGAGCCACAAGTTTTCAAAATTAGTCTGGTCAGAATCTATGATTCAGCATGAAAATTCACTCTCCATGTAGAACCCAGCTGTCACTCCCAGTTGTACCATGGAGGGTGAATGGGTCTGGCCTGGCAGCAATGGAGACAGCTCTTTATCAGGGCTCTAAACCTGCCAAGCAGCCAACTCCAGCCCTGTCTCTTGGTTTACTCCACCAGGAAAACTTTAGTGTTAAAATTTCCTTGCTAGAGCCCAGAGGTAATGACTGAGCCATCACAGTGGTCTCAGGGGACTTGCTATGAGACCGTGGGGCAATCATGTATTCATGATCTGTAAGGCAAATCACAGTTCCTGTAAAATTTGACCATAAATCTTAAATCCTCTCTAGAAAAGAAAGCCTAGGCTGGCAGGGCCTGCAGGTTATGTCCTCTCTCTGCTGCTCACAAAAAGCTACAGCAATCAGCAGCAGGGCCAAAGCTATCAGAGCTGCTATTGAAGAGCAGCAGAGCTGGACAGGGGGGAGAGCCTGAGCTCTGCACTGAGACTGCAGATGGGCAGCTCTGCTGGCTGGGGGGCTGCTATTTGGATGGGTGAGTGGTTGGCTGTCAAGGTATCTTGAGCTTTTGCGCTTTCATCTCTTCCCCTTATGTGTCAAAGTCAAACTAACTCCAAGTGCAGTACCTTTATTCCTGCTGTGAGTAAATCAGCCAGAGGCAAAATGTGATCCTACCATCCTGCAGTGAAAACTGCCTGTCCTCTCTCTTTGCTCCTCGCTTCATCACTGTCACACTGTAGCCCTCACAGTCCTGCCAACTCCTGGGAAAAGTTATCAGGAAGTTCCCTGGAAGTCATCTCACTGCCAGTAGGTGCCAACCAGCCACTTGAAATTTTCTTTGGAGTATAAAAATTCTCCACACCCGCAGTTACCTTCACCTCTCGAGACAACATGCCCAGTGGGCACTGGTACTTCTGAGGCAGCAACACTTCCCAGCAGAGAGAAAGCCACGCTGGCTCCAGCTGGCACTGGAACCATCCCAAGAGCACCAACACAGCTCAAAGCATTTACAACAGTAGCTGCAAGATTTCTGGTTCACATCCCAACTTCCCACCAAGTGTCCTTTCCCAGAGGCTCTCCCAGGACAGGCAGGGACGCCTCCACACACGCCTGACCACATATCCCACGGTGCTGCTCTGCCTCTCAGTCTCTTGGATGATGAATTGTTGGATTTGCTGGACCATGCTGTGTTATTCCCATGTTGAATTTGCTCCTAAATGACTGTTACATCCAAATGGAATTAATACCCATATCTTACCAAAGAGGAAACTAAACAAAGTTGCATCTGTAGTAAATGAGCAATTTGTAGTGTTTTGGCATCTCAGCTTTCCTTGGTTAACATCAGTCATTTTGCTGTATCATTGTACTCCAACAATATGCTAGAAAAGCTCAAAAGAAAAACTCCAAGAACTGAATAAGACACCAAATTCCTCCTTAACATTTTCCATACTACCTTCCTTCTGGTCACCCCTGTACTTTGCACAGTAACATCCAAAAAGTCATCTCAAACTGCACTGTGTTTTACTAAATCATGCCAAGACCTCTCCATCAGCTCTTAATTTGCAGCAACTTTTGCCAAATCAGCCACTAATTATTGGTGCCAACTTTGTTATCCATCTCCCAAGAGCAGACACTTGGCATTTGCAGGCTTAACAATAGCCTGTGTCAAAACCTTCTTGCTCCTGCTAGGAAAAACTCACATTTGTGAAAATTAACCACTGAGAGACAAGGTTCTATTTTTCTCTTGTGCTGCTCATCCAGAATAAATCAAAGAACAGCAGCACTCTAATAGTTCATCCCTCAAACCCCCTCTTTTTTCTATAAAGCCAGCTAAAAACTCAGTAGAATTTCAGTGGTCTTCTCCCAACACTGCAGACCATCTCCCAGTGAAAGTGCCCAAGTTGCAGATTACTTTTGCCTTTGCAGGTCTTCAGAAGAAATCTCTCTCTGCAACAGTTTGGGATGACACCACCTTATTTTCTGGGAGTTTTTGCCTTGCTCATTAATGTTTGATATCATGTGCTTTATGGAAACCTAATTACATGACATCTCCTCATTCTGCCTTACCCATCATGGCAGGCAAAGCTCAAACAGATGCTCTGAGTTACTGAAGCATGAACATGCTGCCTGCCATGAAAACCGCCTCTCCCTGTGTTTTCTGTCACTCCCTTTAGGACATCCAACAAAAGCACAGTTGCTGGCTCATGATTCTTGTTTTGTTTTTTTTCATGATCCCTTTCAAAAAGGCTCAGGGAAATACAGCTGCACCTACAGCTCTTAAAGAGGCCCTTATGAAATGACTGCCCTTTAACTGTACTAGATTTAGGGTTCCCCAGTCTCACAGCAGCGATATTGTCCTAATAAAGGAGTTTCTAATTTTTATCTCCTCTTTCTGAAAGGGAGAAGGGAACTTTCTGGCAAACCCAGAGCAGAGACCGGGATGGGCAACTGGGAGACTGAACTGCATGTCATGTTCACAGCTGTCATCTGTGGCTTGTCAGCACAGCAACGAGCTGGAATTTCTTTTCAAACCTGAGTGTGCAGCATTCAGACCAGCCAGCCACCATTTAAATGCAGCTGGTTTGCTTTTATGGACACTTCATCTGTCAGCGTGGGAGCAGATGAACACCTGAGCTGACTGCTGAACACCTTCTCTGCAGCCACACAAGGAGCAGCACTTTTGATGCTGATCTCCATTCCTGTGACACTCTCCTGAAGGGACTCCCGACTTCCCATTCCTTGCTGCAAACCGCCAGCTTTTTTGTGGTTGTTTTTTTTTGTTTTCACCCCAGTGACTCAGACTGAGCACCAGTGAAGCCCACCACCTGCTGTGGTGGCAAACATGTGGATGGCACAGGAGCACAGGGCACCCAGCCCTGTTCAGCTGCACCACAGCTGGTGGCAGTACCAGTTCAAGCCTAGGACTATGATCCCAGCACAGGCATGAGGCCATCTACCACTTGGTACTGCAAATGCAGGAGAAACAGGCTGTGTGGTAGGGAAGCAGGAGGCAGGGTGGACTTACTTTAGCTCAGCTTCCTGCTGCTCAAGTACATCTGCACCTCTGGAAAAGTGCCAAACACCCTCAACAGCTTGACAGAGAACTGCTCTTTTGGGAATTGCACCTTAAATCACAAGTCGTCTTTCTGCAATGCTCCCTGCTGCTCAGATGCTGTAGGCTTCTCTTGTGTCTGTCCTCCATGATCAACAGACTCCCTAATTAGCCCCCAG